CTCTGGGCTCACTAAAACTCTGACCTTCTGGATTCTGTAAGAACAGCAGACCTTTAACTCAAAGACTTTTACTGGTTGATGCCATCATTTCCCACGTTAATACAGATGTGGATGGTTTTGCCGTATGGGAAAGAGGCTGTCTAAGGTTAGTTTTAGAACTTTTGTTTCTGTGGAATGGGGCAGTTTCTTGCTTTATCTCACTTTTCCGATGTGGAGTTTTGGGGATACCTTCCAGGAGACGTGTTGTTTCCTACCTCCATTGGGCTACCCCAAGGCCAGAAGACGTCTTTCCCACAGGACTCTCTTACCTGGGATGTGCCACCGTGTTCCCTGTCTCTTGGGACTTCGGTGGTCTTGGGCGGAACCTGCTGATTTTTACGTCCTGCGAGAATGCATCTTGGCTGCTGAGTCAATCTGTTTTGCATCCCTCGTTGGAAATGGTTTCTACCCCTGCCCCCTTACTCTGCATTTAGTCTTCCTCCTCTGAGAATCAGCTAAAACTGTTTTCCCCAATCAGAGGACATTCCAATGTTGACCAGCTGCCTGCGGTTGGTTATAAGGGAAACTACGAGAAAGAGAGCGGGTAGTTCTTGCTGATGACCTTGAAGGCCTCTGAGGGCCTGTCAGCTTTTGGTGGGGAGTTGGGGAGACATCCCTGTTACTACCTTCTTTGAACAACACGGTGTGCTTGAGAGCTGACATCCTAACTTGGACAGTCTTACGTGGCTCCTTCTTGTGCTGAGTCTCACTGGTGAAGGGCACAGGAAAATCGAAAAGGGAGCACAGCTCTGCGTCTGGGTCCTCCTTTCATACGTAAGTTTGGGTGAGCCCTGAGCGCTGTCTGAGCTTCATCTCCCTGGAGAGCAGTGGGGAGCGTTGATGGTCACTTTTCCAGGGGCCTTGGGGGGCTGCTCGGCACTGAGACGCCTCAGAAGGTCTCTCTTCGCTCGGCATGCTCTGGGTTTCCTTAAGCTTACTTCCTAATTGAATTTTCTCATTCAAACCTGCTTTCCTGAAGCTGTCGGGCAGCAGGGTGCTTTTGAGGTGGTGGAAACGTGGCCGGCTCTCTATTTTTTATTCTTTTCTCCCAACCTGATTGAGGTATAATTGAAGTATGCTAAGTGGCACGTAGTTGAAGTGGACAGTTTGATCCTTGCTGTTTGTTTTATGATAACGCGGAACATCTGCCTCCCCGCACTTGCCTTCCTCCTGTGTCCGATCCTGCACTCCCGAGCTTTCCAGAAACCTCTTAGGAAGCAGGGATTCCAGCTGGCAGAGCTGTAACAAGTGTTTCCATAAGCATTCCCACGATCCTTTAAGTGAGGAGTGTGACCTCGGAACCATGTGCCCGTTCCCCTCCCTTGACAGAGGAGGAGGTGGGAGGTAAGAACAATACCGGGATGGCTGTGCTCCCCGTCTGGGGCACGGCCGGAAAGCTGAGCATTTGTAGGCCATCCAAACACTGGTGTTCTCCTGGGATTCCAGGGTTAGGAGGGGAGGAGAGTGAATTGATTTCTACCTTCACGTTAGAGCAGAGAGAACTCGCAAAACAGCCCCCTCTGCTTTTCTAAGCTCTCCTACGGTGCCTCCCGTTCGTTGGGGGCACGGAACTCATGAGCTACGTACAAGGAAATTGGCAAACGAGGGGCGCCTGGGCGGCTCCAGCGGTTAAGCATCCGACTCTTGATCTCAGCTCAGGTCTCGATCACAAGGTTGTAAGTTCAAATCCTGCGTTGGGCTCCTCTTGAAAAGGAAATTGGCAAACTAAAGCAAAGAGGCTTTCTCTTTGTGTTATGACGCTCTCTCGCCGGTGAGTATTCAGGCTCGCTTTGCTGGGGCCCCTGGTACACAGTTCTTCAGTTTCCCTGGGCTGGTGGAATACGGGGGATTCCGAGCTTTGGAACACCAGGAGGATGTCTCGCTGTGACAGTGCCCGGGCTGTGTTCCGGTGCCCATTGGGTTTGGGTCCTAATCACTTTTCCAGTTAGAGAGATCCTTCGTTCTGGATCGGGTTTTCGTAAGCCCCTGCTGAAGGAGCATGTGCTGCTTAGGCTGCTGACTCTGCATTCTGTGTTCACTCCTGTGACCAAGGGACAGGCAATGACCGACGTTACCGATGTTTATTTTCTTAGAAATTAGTGAGCACCCACTGGAAACCTTGTTTAGGAAGGTGTGTCTCCTGGGCCTTGGGGGCACACCGTGTGGCTGTGACCGTCATCTTTATCTGCGGGTGAGGAAGGGGCTGGCACTGACTAGAGGTGGTGAGGACAGCTACATCCCAGCCGCTGAGTTGGTCAGCGCCCTGTCCTCAGATTGCTCCCTAGCCTGCTCTGAGAAGCAGGTTGTGAGGGCCTTTGGCCTGAGCCACAGTGACATTTCTTATATTCAGGAAGCCCTTACTGACTTGGGGCTTTTATGATAAGACTCTCTGCTTTTAATGAAAGCTCGCAGTGGATTTGTACGTCTGGATGAGAAACAACTTTATCTACCATGGGATGGGAAGACTCTGTTCTGAGAAATCGAGCCTTCAGGTTCATAAAGAACTGTCCTATAAGCCACCTTTGGGTTTCCACGTCGTGGAGGTCTGTGCTGAATTAGGCCCCAGCATCAAGCCCGAGCCAGCCCTGCTTCGATGTGACGGGGAGTCCATGGGGCTGTGCAGGCCGAGCCCTCCCTGGTGCTCACGGTCGCCGCCATGCTCAAGAAGCCCAGAGTCCAGCACTGTGTTCTAGAGGTTGGCAGGAGGCCAGAGAGACCTCGATTTTGAATTTTAGATGATATCCTTTTATTTTTTTCCCCCTTCCTCTTCTCTTGACTTAACCTGTCAAATTTATGGAGCAGTGACGACATCCCATGCATGTGCTAAGTGCTGTATACAGAATACCCCCACGTGATCCTTCAGATAACAGTATGAAGGATGTGCCATTACTACCCTCCTATTAGAGCTTAGGAAACCTGAGGCCCAGGACGGTTTGGTAACTGGTCCAGCGGCATGCAGCTGGAATCTGATGCCCTCAGGATTTGAATGCAGACCACCTCTCTCAAACCTGTTCCTCAACCGGAGTGCGACACCACCACCACCCTCACTTGCCGCCCAGCTGGCCAAAGTGGATGCAAAATAACCAGCTCCTCTTCTTCTGGAGGCTTGAAAACCAAGAGGTGGCAGGGGTCCTTAGGAACAAAGCATGGTGGCAGCAGGTGTCTGGCTGGCTGCCGAGCAGTTCGGCGTCGTGCTTAGGCACGCCGCCTTTGGGGTCAGAGAGACCTGTCTTTGAACCCCTGCTTCGGCACACTCACAACGTGTAACCTCCCCATGCTCCCTGGGGGACAGTTTCCGCTTCTGACAGGAATGCTAGTAGTGACCTTCTAGGATTGTGTTTTCAGATTCAGTGGGATCCTGGCATATGATCGCTTGGAACAATACCGTAAGGCGTTTTCGCTGTTACTGTGAATGCATTTGAAGCTGTGGGTCCGAGCCCCCGGTGGTGTAACTGCTCAGTGGAGACTGGTAGTTGCCACTATAGCAACTGCACTGTGGGCTCTGCGGGCAGAGCCTGCTGGGGGCGCTGGCGCGGGGGATGGTGGTCACCGTGACACACGCTGTCGGGGTTTAGTAGAAAGAGATTTTGGATCTGGAAGTTGCTGCTTCCCTTCCTTTCATTCTTGCTGCTCATTGAGGGACGTTCCGCTCCTTACTCATCCCCCAAGTTTCTTGAGGCAGAGCACTGAGCATTCGGGTGAGGGTGGAAGGGAAAGGAGATTGGAGCTTATGAAAATGTCTTGCTGGCGAGAGACACAGTAGCTCTAAGGAAACGTGGGTTGACGGGGAAATAGTTTTCACTCCTGCAGATCACTTTCATCTAGCCCAGAAGAACCAAAAAGAAGTGACCTGGCTCTGATTTGATTCTCAGGCTCTTGTTCCAGGCTACCCACTTGCGAGCGCGCGTTTTCATTCCATACAGGAGCGTTTGATTCTTGTGCGCGCTGGAACTAAATGCTGTGTAAAAGGATGGTGATGGTATCTCTCTTGATGGAGTACTTAATATATCTCAGGAACCGTGCTACTTTCTTTTCAGATACTTTCTGAGGTGGTCTTCAATACTGCAGGGTAGGTACTACTAATATTCCCATTTAACAGATGAAGGAGTTGAGGCTCAGGGAGGAAGGACTTGTTCAGATCTTTTTTGCTCAGAAGAGGCAGGTGAAAGATTTACACTCTTGTCTGTCTTACTTCCAAGGTCCTTTGTGCCAGCCACTGACTGGCAAGGTTGTCTGTTGTAGGTCTTAGGTATTGAAGCCAGAAGACCCTGTTTTTAGGCATCTCTCTGCTTAGCTGGTCCTGACAGCCAGAAGGGAGGAGCTTTGAGACCGGTCCTAGGTTAGATTTGCAAACTTATCACAGGTTGGTAACATGTCGCGTTGTGCTTCATCGTCACGACAGCACGTGAAAGCTTTGGTGATGTGTTTGGGGGTGCTAGGGGGCCAGCCGTTGTTTCAGGACTCTGTTGTACTTGTTGTTCCCGTGGTGGACAGTGTAGAGACTGGGCCCTAATAAGGAGCTGCCCTTGAGTTGCATAGGGCAAGCAGAGGTTGGAGAGTCTTCCATATTTATTCACATCTGAAATAGGACGTCAGGAACCCAGGATAGAAGTGGGCCAAGTGCTTTCCTTGATGGGTAAGCATTGTGTTCATCTTTTCCTCAATCCTCCCTTTGGCCATAAGTCAGAAGGCTGCACTGCCCCCTTTTAGATGAAATTCTTGGATTGAGGGAGCCTTTATTTTTTCCAAATCCCTTAAATCTTGCTTTTCCATCAAGATTTGTCTGTTTGCGGGGCGCCTGGGTGGCTCAG